GGGTTCGGACACATTTGTCCCAAAGCAGACCAAAGGCCATGCTGTGGTACATTCCAATGATCATAGACTAATCAGAAACACAAAACAAGACTGAGACAACATAATATGTGAGGCAGCGTGGTGGAATCAGGTTCTCGTCAAAATAGTGAAAGTGAAAAAAACTTGCCTTTTTCCGCAGGTTTGTGAATTTTTATCAATTTTTTTTTTGGCTCGACACCTTTCATGCTCATTACAGAACTAATTTCTGCATGGAATTTTCTGAAAAACGTTGGTTAAAGGCACAAAAAATGTAAATTTTCAGTTACCACGGACTCTTAAGCTAAGGAAATAACTAATCTTAGGCGGCCATTTTCTCACTAATTTTACCTCTGAAAACAGGTGACCCCACCTCCTTCATTTGCAAATATCTCGACCTGTATTCAAGATATATGGATACTTTTTTCATCAAAAAAAAAGACAAGTGAACAATCTTTAAGACGATACCAATAACTCTATATGCTCAAAAATTGACGAGAGCCTGATTCCACCACGCTGCCTCACATATGTACAGATGTTTTAAACTAGTTACAATCACCAAAATGCCAGTGTGGAGAGGCGGACCAAACTGTGGAACACATCCTTCAGTTCAGCACTGCAGAACACAGGGCCCTGAGACAGGAAACATGGTCAACCCCACTGACACTACAGGAGAAGCTATATGGGCCGACAGATGAACTGAGCAGGACCACCCACATGTCAGATATCGTACTTCAAGTGAAATGCGATCGAGAAGAAGAGGAAGAGAAACACAAATTTGTTTATTTCATAGCATGAATTGTTGTCTGTCTTTTTTTTTTAAGTTTCAAGTAAAGAAAACGTGAAACTGAAAAATTGTATGAATTTATATAGATCTAAGGAAGTTATTTAAGTGCTCCAAAACAGCAAGTCTTCAAGTGTTACGAATGGCCAGAATGTTTCTTCAAAGACTTAATAATAAAATTTTGTGATTGATTGGATAGCATGGCAGGAGGGG